ACACCTGGGATTTGAAGTTAGATATATCAGACCCCAAGTCCCACCTCTTACTCACTGTACTCCACCACCTCTGCCAGGTCTACAGTGTCCAGTAAAATTGAAAAGGCACAGACCTTATGATCTAGCAATTCCATTTGCAGGTGTGTGTTCTAAAGAAACTTACACATGTACCCAAGGAGCAAGTTTAAGAATGTTCATTGCAATGGACTATGGTGGCAAAAAATTGGGTCCAATCCAAATGTCCATAAAGATGTGGATGGTTAAATAAAACACAGAATATCTATACAATGAGATACTATAAAGCAGTTAAATGGCCTGAAATGGATCTATGTGGGTAGATCTTAGAAATGACATTGAATGTCTCTTCACCGAGTAAAACAATAAAAGGAGAAAAAATTTTGAATGAAAAAAAGCAGGTTGCAAAATAATATGTACAGTATTAAAGAAAAAAAACCCATTCCCCCCAAATTCCAAATCTTGTTTCTGATCACTGTGAGAATGAACTGAAGAGAAGCACATCAAATTCACGACAATGGATGCCTTGGGGGCATTGGGAAAGAAATAGGACTGGGGATGAAGGTCACAGGTTATTTGACTTATCTACGATTATTATTTTTTTAAGGATTTAAAGATAAAATCTTAACATATTTTAATTCTGAATGGTGGAAATAAGTGTGCTTGTTATAGCCTCTGTTACTACACTATATTTAAAAAATAGTATCAGCTAATGTTTACTGAGCATTTATGAACCAGGTAGAGTTCTAAGCATTTCATGTGGATCAATTCATTAAATCCTAACAAACGTCCTATGAGACAGGTACTATATTAGTACAGATGAGGAATCTAACAGGTAAGACACAGGTTAAATAACTTCCCTGCATCACACAGCTAGTAAGTGGTAAAGCTGGAGTCCAAACCTGGGTGTATCTGGCTTCAGGAACCCTGCTTTCACCCTGTGTCACCTCTATTCTTTGGAACATTCTCAAAATCTAAACAAAACAGTACAAAGCCAAATCCCTAAATGCTGAGGGAATTCAAAGTGGAGAAATGAATGTAATTGTGGAGTTGTTGCCCTGATTGCCACCTTCTCTTTCTATTTGCTATATTAGCCTGAGGGCTCCACTCTGGAGCTGAACTAGCTCTAGTTGAGAGTAGAACAGCAGGGACCTCTTTCTTGAGGGAATCAAAACTGAAAACTCTACTCTTCCACAAAAACAAACAAACAAACAAAAAACAAAGCAAAATAATAGGCAGAGCACAATGAGCTAGGCCCCACTGGGGATATTACAAGGCACACACGCAATTTAATCCTGTATGTGAACTGGAGTTCCCACAGGTTAGCTAAGCCTAGTTCCTTGGCTACAAAGGTTGGGGCAGGGAGAAGCTGGCAGTCATATAGAGTAGAAAAGTGAGACTTGGAGGAAAGAGGGAAAACCTTTGGCTTCCTCCGGTGGCTGCTCCTCTCCCTGCAGAAAGATGTGCTATCTGGTGCTTAAGGAGTTTAGTAGTAGGAGGAAAGGGAAAGATGGAGGCCAGCAGGGCAGGTTTCTGTAGCTCTCTTCCTGCTGTAGCCTCTGGTTTTAGTAGAGTAATTCCCTCACTCCCTGCTGTCATCATCAAAGCAGCTACCAGGCTCCAAGTAAATAACAGACAGGGAAACAGTGGGCAAGAGAGGTTGTGTAGGGTAATGGTGAAGAGCTCAGACTCCAGAGCCACCCTGCCTGGGTCTGAATCCTGGCTCTGCCACTTATTCATTCTGCTAACTTGGGCAAGCCATCTATGAAACGGAGATAGTAAAAGAGTTATTGTTAGGATACAGATAAATTAATGCAGCTTAAGCACTTAAAACAGTGCCAGGTACACAGTAATCACTCTCTAAGTACTTGTTGTAATTCTTCTTTCTGAGTACCTGCTTGTTTTCAGGGACTGTGGTAGGAATTGGGGATGAAGGAGAGGATCAGACAGTGCTTGCCCTTGAATTTGGTTTAGTTGAGGAGACAGATGAGTAAATTAATTACAATACAATATAATAAGGTCTCAAGTAATTATGTGTCACATATTATAGGATCACAGAGAAAGGAGTGACAAACTACAGAGGGGAGGGGTGGCCAGGGAAGACTTCACAGACAGATGACATGGGAATTGGAAGAGTAGGACTTCATCCAGCAGGCAAGTAGGAGGAAGGACATTCCTAGTAGAAGGAGTATCTTGGTCAAAGGTGTAGCTGGAATCAGGGTCTCAGGCAGGAGTAGGGTTAGCATTGTGGGAAAAATAGATTAGAGCCCAATCTAGAAGGATCTTGTGTTCTCTGCTAAGAATTTCAGACCTATAACTTGTGTGTGTGTGTGTGTGTGTGTGTGTGTGTGTGTGTGTGTGTGTGTGTATATTTGAAGCAGGTAGATAACATGATTAAAGTTGCATTGTTAGAAATTAACTGATATGAAGGAAGGATTATGGATGGAAAACTGAAGAGATACCAATTGAGTTGCACTGATCCCCCAACTCCCACCCCCAACTCCTCCCTCAGTGTTCCCTTTATCAGTCAACCATTCACCCAGTTGCACAAGAGCGAGCCTTGGGGTGTTTAGTGAGCCTTTGCTCTCCTTCACTCCTATATCTATTTCATCAACAAACCTTTTTGGTCTATCTCCAAAATGCATTTAGAATCTAAAGGACCACAAAGCCCTCATAACCGGAGCAAGGAAGGAATTAAGGTTAAATAAGGTCATGGTGAAGGGGCTAGCTGATCTAATAAAGTTAGTGCGCTTCTAAGAAGTGACACCAGAGAGATCTCTCGAGTTTTCTCTCTGCACACACACCAAGGAAAGGCCATGTAAGAATGTGGCAGGAAGGTGGCTGTTTGCAAGCCATGAGGAGTGCCCTCACAAGAAACTGACCATGCTGGTACCTTGATCTTGGACTTCCAGCCTCCAGAATTGTGAGAAAATACATTTCTGTTGTTTAAGCCATCAGGTTTATGGTATTTTGTTATGGCTGCCGGAGCTGACTAATACAATTAGTTTTAGCTGCATTATTAACACTTGTTTGTGCACTGTCTTGTGTAATTTTTTTCTCTAATTGGTTGTCAGGTGCAGCTTTGTCTTTCCACTAGTCTGTAAGTTCTTAGAAGTCATGGATCACGCTTTTTTTTTTTTTTTTTTTTTTTTTTTTTTTGAGACAGAGTCTCACTCTGTTGCCAGGCGCCAGGCTGGAGTGCAGTGACACACAATCTCGGCTCACTGCAACCTCGGCCTCCTGGGTTCAAGCAATTCTTCCGCCTCAGCCTCCCAAGTAGCTAGGACTACAGGCGCGCGCCACCACACCCAGCTAATTTTTGTATTTTCAGTAGAGACAGGGTTTCACCATGTTGGCCAGGATGGTCTCGATCTCTTGACCTCGTGATTCGCCCGCCTCAGCCTCCCAAAGTGCCCGGCGGATCATGCCTTTTAAATCATGAGAAGCACCTAAACCAAGTCAGGCACACAGTCGTAGGCAATAAATGCTTATGAAAGGAATGGATAAAACTGCATAGGAAGACATGCTGAACATTCATAACTAGAAAAGGATACTGAGGCTCTGAGTTGGTGCTAGCTTTGTCACAGATGTCCTAAGTGTCTCTAAACAAATTAGCCTATTTCTCCCTCTCTATCCATTTTTTTCTTCAGCTGTGCTGTTTCTTCCCTCCCTTATGGAGTTTTGGGGAGGCTTAAATATGATCCAGTATTTTCAAAGGCCTTGTGAAGAAGCAGAGAGCCTAGGTTTTTGAGTCAGAAAGATCTGGGTTCAAAATCTAGATTTCTCACTCACCCTGATAAGAGCACTAACCTCATGAGACATGCTTTATACACACAGAAGCATTCAGTCTTTACAGCCACCCTGCAAAGTGGATAATGAGGATCACCATTTTAGGGATGAGGAAACTGAGCTTCTGAGAGACTGGGGAAATTACTCAAGGTCACACTTCTAGTTAAAGGATCAGAATCATAAATTGTTTGGCTCAAAAGCTCATGCTCTTTCTACCCTGCCACAGGCTCCAAAAGAGAACAAAGCTTAACCTCTAGAAAGAATGACTTCCTAAACGGGATTTAACAAGATCCCATGTTGTAGGAACAAAGGTTCTTGCTTTCTTTTGGGAGACAGGAAGCTGCCACCCTAATATTTAAGTAATATAAAACCAGTCAGGGCTGGGTGCGGTGGCTCATGTTTGTAATCCCAGCACTTTGAGAGGCTGAGGTGGGCAGATCACCTGAGGTCGGGAATTAGAGACCAGCCTGACCAACATGGAGAAATCCCATCTCTACTAAAAATACAAAATTAGCTGGGTGTGGTGACGCATGCCTGTAATCCCAGCTACTCGGGAGGCTGAGGCAGGAGAATTGCTTGAACCCAGGAGGTGGAGGTTGTGGTGACCCGGGATTGTGCCATTGCACTCCAGCCTGGGCAACAAGAGGGAAACTCTGCCTTAAAAACAAAACAAAACAAAACCAGTCAGAATCAGATTTTCAAAAGGGACCAGGACCCAAAAGGAGATTATGAGCTATTTTACCAGGCTGAGGGTACCATGGAGGGCAGGGATGTAGAGGTACTTTTTATTATTATTTTTAATTGATAATAACAATACATATTTATGGGTACAGTGTGATATTTCTCTTTTCTTTTTTTAATTTTTAATTTTTATGGGTACATAGCATGTGCATATATTTATGGAATACATGAGATATTTTGATACAGGCATACATATGCAATAATCACATTAGGGTAAATGGGGTATCCACCTTAAGCATTCATCATGTCTTTGTGTTATGAACATTCCAGCTGTACTCCCTTAGTTGTTCTAAAATGTACAACAAATCATTGCTGACTATAGTCACCCTGTTGTGCTAATTTGATAGTCTGATCTTATTCACTGCCTCTAACTATATTTTTGTACCCATTAACAATGCGATATTTTGATACATGTATGTAATGTATAATGATCAAATCAGGATTATTAGCATATCCATCACATCAAACATTTATTATATTTCTTGGTGTTGCGAACATTCAAAATCACTTTTCTAGCTATTTGAAAATACATAATAAATTATAGTTAATTATAGTCACCCTATAGTGTATAGCTGTTTTATTTACTTCAAGCACAGTGTACCTAGCATTGTGCTTGGCTCAAGGAAGCACTCAATGACTATTTGTGGAATGATAAATTCCTAGTGTAGCTCAGAGGATGAAAGACATTACATTCTGTGGCCTGGTACTGTGGCCACTAGAAAAGTGTAGCTATAGAGATTAGGCCTGAAAGAGCTAGTCACTTAGGTGCCAAGGTTTGGAACTGAAGAAGTATATTTCTGATACGTTTTAGAGTCACAATGAAACAAGATTCCCTAATGGAAATTTTCCCAAAGACTGGATCCAGATACCCAGTAAAAGGGTTACAAGTGTACTTGCCTATAATTTGCAAATGGTTTATGTCTAACTACATTTTCTGTCATCTATTCCCTGGTGATTTTCAAGGCAAAAATTCATTGCTACCCTAAAGGTTATTGCATAATTTATAAAAATAATAAAAGTTTATCTTCTCTTCCTTAAAAAACAGAACAGGCAGTACCATATTTCGCTGTCAAGGCTGTTCAGCACAGACATCTCATATCTTTATTACTGCCATGGAAAGTGTTTGATCAATCGTATTTAGACTATACTATAAAATTTAAAATGTGAGATGTGCCTGTATTAGCCAGTATCACTAAAGTTCCTTGGACATCAACTCCTATGTCATCGACATGAGGACTATCCTGTTTAAATGGCACTTATTTGGATTTCAATGATATAGAGGCCCTCCATGTAGGAATCTGTGTTACTGAGGACTCAAAGCAAGAGTAGTTTTCCCCACTTCTCAGAAACACAGTTAAGGCCCACTGGCAGAAATCACTCTTCACAAGAGTAGAGGAAGCTGGAGTGACAGAGAGCAGAACTGTGAATACCCATTCCTAACTCACAGGCAGAAGTTTTGCTTTGTAAGCTGATCCTTGACAGAGCAGTAATTTATAAATGGAAAGAGATAGGGAACTCATCATTCAGCAAGCATTTATTGAGGGCCTGCTATATGTGCAAGGCACTGGATAAAGCATCACAGCTTAATAAGAAGAGCTTTCAAATGTATCAGGCCTTTTCTTGTCATTGCTTTAAAATGCCATGTCCTGTGTTTAAAAATGGCAATGTAATCATGAGGAAAAAATCCAAACTCAACATTAGTACAACTTATATTTGCCCTCTCAAGTGATGGTAAAAAGAACTCTCTAAATGCTTTAATGAGCTTTTGCACACACTGTTCCCTCTGCTTGGAATTCTCTTCCCCCTTTCCTGTCTGCCTGGTGAAATCCTACCCTCTCTTTAAATAACAGCTCAAATATCATCTCCTTTGTGAACCCTTTTGACACCTCCTGAGCAAATTAATCATTCTCCTCTATACATTCGCAAAGCTCTTTGCAAGGAACCTCTACTCTCACACTGTACTGTAATTTTTTTATTTCTCACACTTTACTCTGAGCTCCATAAATCAGGGCACACCTCTGATTCATATTGGTATCCCCAGCACAACACCTGCATATAGCAGTAGTCAGTAAATGACTGCTGAAATTCCCAGACCACTTTGAAAAAGACATCTATTAATACATTACAGAGAACTTCATAGAAACCTAACAAGGCTTTGCACATAGTAAGTGCTTAATAAAGGTCTGCTTACTTTGAATGTAGTAAAAGTGGTGCATCTCTTAGGTCAAATCTATAGATAGCAATTCTTGCTAGACCCTTCATGGTGCCACAACAGCAGGCACCAACTCTACACAGACAGACATCCTTATGATGTTGCAGGCACTGAATATTACACTTGCCCTAACCATTCACCCCTGCCAGCTTACCAGGTGGCACAAATGTCTCATTATTAGTCACTTCTTGGAGTTAAGGCATTAGCTACAGAAGTGCCCTATTGGGCTGCTTTCAGATGGAGGAAGAATACGCCAGAAACCACCTGAAAGACTTCACATCTTTCAGAGGATCTGGAGATCATTCATGCTTCTCTCCTTCTCTCCTTCCAACTACGATCTGTACTCCAGAGAGAACTCAGAACACAGGAAAAGAACCTAAAAGGAAAGGAAAAAAAAAGCCTAAAAAGAGTCAGTGTTGAGCACAATTTAAATGGTACCCTGTATTAAAGTTGACAATATCTATTAGCGTAGAATTATACATTGGCTGTTTGTAAAAGTGCTGTGAGGTGCAAATCTAAAGAAGGTTAAAAAATGAGTAAACATTATTTATATCAAAGCACTAAAAAATTCCAAACTTTGGCATTTAATAATAGCCATTTTAAAAATTCTGTCTTTTCTCTGGATGTGGGAGAATAAAACCCTTTTTCTGTTCTGAAAAGAGATGTGTAGAAGGGTACTCTTTTTGTAGTTTGAAAGTTCTAATTTTGGCCTGGCACAGTGACTCAAGCTTGTAATCCTAGCACTTCGGGAGGCCGAGGTGCATGAATTGCCTGAGCTCAGGAGTTCAAGACCAGCCTGGGTAACATGGTAAAACCTCGTCTCTACTAAAATACAAAAAATTAGCCAGGCATGGCAGCATGTGCCTGTAATCCTAGCTACTTGGGAGGCTGAGACAGGAGAATCGCTTGAACCTGGGAGGTGGAAGTTGTAGTGAGCTGAGATCGTGCCACTGTACTCCAGCCTGGGTGACAGAGCAAGACTACATCTCAAAAAAAAAAGTTCTATTTTTATGGAAAATACAACTATCTTGTAGTTCTTCAGCATATAATCACTACAGACTTTTTTTGTTTTTTTCAGAGCCGGGGTTTCTCCATGTTCGTCAGGCTGGTCTTGAACTCCCGACCTCAGGTGATCCGCCCGCCTCAGCCTCCCAAAGTGCTGGGATTACAGGCTTAAGCCACTGCTCCTGGCTTTACTAAAGACTTTTAAAAAATTATTATTTTGGCTAACACAGGCACAAAATTGGCAATTAATACTATGTTAGCTAGAAACCAGTTAGGCAAATACCAGATTTTCTGAGCATTCTAGTTAAGAGTAATGGAGATGATCTTTCCCAAATTTTCAAAATCCATGAATGTTCTGTGACTCATTGATTACTTAGGGAGTTCTTACTCAGGGTTGGTAGTTTAATAAATTAGGCAGAAGTTCAAAGCTAAAATCTGTTGAATTTAGCTGAAACAAAGAGCAGCCTTGCTTCCAAATCATTGTTAGTGCTATTTGAACAGTAAAATACTGTAGAGCACAGAAGTAAGAAAAGTTCCTCAGTGTAATCCTCTTCCACCTCTGTTAGCTTGAGAGACATGGGTGAGAGAGGGACAATGCCAACACAAACGGAATTGCACAGTGAAGAAAGCAAAGGAGGGCCAGAACAGTGGGTGAAAAGTTAACTTACTTCACTTAGACCACCATATTAAAACCAGATGTGTCTAAAATGTTGGATGTGGAAAAACTGGTGTTACTGATAGCGTGAACAAACTCTTTGTGCTTTCCTCCCGATACAGTATCATTACAGGGTGCCAGAGGTGTCATTTTCTTTCATTCCACATGTAGCACATTCTCAACTAGTTAAACCGTTTCTAATCTTATGTAATTAGATAGGTCTCGCTACATCCCTCAGTTGAAGGATTTTATGAGCTGCCTTGTTCTGTCTCCGTTTTGTGACAGCTTCTTTGGGGCTGGAAACTAACATTTGCTAACATTTCTTCCCTTCTGGCACCTGTCAGCTGGATGGGCTCTGGGAAAAGGAGGATGGGGAGGGAAGGAATGTAACACCCCCCCAATCCCCAATGCCCTGGTATTAGAGGCGTCTTTGTCTCTACTTAGGGATAACTTTGTTCTGTAAAGTGCTGTTAAGTACACACTCAAAATAAACAATGGGCAGATGGATGAACGTAATGATGAAGTTCTTGTTTTTTTGAATTTAATTTCATCACAAATTTTGAGTTCCTCGGTTTACTAAATATAGAGCCTAGGGGAGGTACTAACCAGAGGTAGAAGTCCTTTAACATGGCCCAAGGTTGACCCACCCTGCAAAGTGGATGAGGTTTGGCTCTTTGATCTTCCCAGTCCAGTCACTCTGTGCAGAGCTCTGCCACTGGATACAGAGACTCCAGCATGACTGCCTTTTCCTTAGTTCAGAGCAGAGTTGTAGGGAGTCATCAGATATTTGACATCAGAATCAAAGGCTATATAAACACAAGGGCTTTTACTTCAATGCAGAAATAATAATCGCATTTTGGAATTGAGAGTTTTTCCTTCCAAAGCCTTTAAAGCGATCCCGCCACAAAGAGCTTTCTTAGGGTCATTTCTTGACCATTCTATGATGTCTTTGTGAGGTCGCTGACTGGCAAATTCTCTCCATGTGTAGACGGGGGAATCCAGAATTAAGGCCAATTTATGCTTCTATCCCTTCGGACTTGTGCATGATTGATTATATGCAGGGCCTGACCTCTCACCACAAAATTCTGTGGTTTTTGTCCAATAATGAGAAAAGACAACTGAAGGAGTGCAGAGTACAACAGAAATGGGTGAGTGACAGGGCCACCTGATGTCTCCCAGTACTTTACAGTTTATAAATCGCTTTCAGAATTGCCCTTTCATGGACAGGCAGCGTACACTCCTATTTCACCAAAGCAACTGGGCTGTGGAAATAAGAGCCAGGGTGCTGGCACAGTTATGGAGCCCTGAATTTCTCACGCTGGGGGCGGGGCAGCGCGTGGGTAAGCACTTTGCCTTCCAGGAATAGTACTGCTCTGAGACTCCTCTGTAGACTGCCTGGAACGAAGATTAAGCCCAGGGTTCTCTTTGCATTCCATTTAGCAGTTTGCTCATGCTTTCACCACAGATCAGGCTCAAGAATTCCTCTGCCAGCTGAGAATCTGAATGTTGCTTTGGCTGTAAGACAGTATCTTATTTATTCTCATAAATCCCCTCCTCCTCTTGTCCTTGATTATTTTCACCATAAAATGGAAACAGTGGCAAATTATGTGAGCATTTGGGTGCTGGACTACAGCCACCCTTGGCAATCTTTGTCAATCTTTGAGATTCTCACCAGCTTTGACTAAAGAACAGTGACTCACCCAGAGTAACACACAGTCCCTCTTGCCTTTAAAAAAGGAGTTCCTCAAAAGTGTTACTAAAGAAAACAAAACAAAACAAAACAACTATAGTTCAAGGAAAAAAAGTGCTAAGAGCAAAAGATTGATTTTAAACAAGGCCAGAAGATTTCAAAGAAGGGTGATTATTTGCAAGTGAAAAAGTGGTTTGTACATTTTAGATTTCCTTTCCAGTTCCAAATTTGAGGCTTAAACATCTTTTGTCTTGGGGAAGTTAGGATATAAGGAAGTTAAGTTACCTCAGCCCCAGCTTACTACTTGAAAATGCCCAGGAACTCTGAGCAGTTTGCTGCTCAGCACCCCTGGCCAGAGGGGTAGAAAGGAGACAAAAATTGGGAAGGAATAAAAGTGAGAGGCAGCTGGCACAAATGCTGGCTAGCACTCTTCTCATTCTAGCCAGCTGTATAGACAGCTGTCCCTTTAATTTAACCCTTAGTCCATCCCCCAGGGACAAAGCTCATTTTGCATACTGAAGTCTCTTCTTGTAGCGATTGTGGTTGTTTTAAAGCACAGGGAAAATGTACAGGTAAGGGAGGTTATGTGATGAAAACTTGACAAAGAAAGTTTTTTTTAATTCCCCCTCAAAATGCATACACAAGGAAGAACTCATGAGCGCTACATACAGAGAGACAGGAATCACTGTAATCAAAGGCAGTCTGGAGGAGGAAGGACAGGCTGCACAGACTTGAAGGACAGTTCTGCTTAAACTTCTATCTATATTCTCAAAGCTAATTTTGTAAATGGGAGTTTCTTATTCAAGAATGGCCATTTGTAGATGAACGTGGGTTTGTTTTTCCGTAATTCCAGAAAGCCAATTCATCAATACTTTCAAAGGTAACCTGGAGACTAGGAGTGTAAATATGCAAACTGTTTTCCCCTTAAGCAGACTTAAAATCAGAATCCTAAGGTGTTCAGGCTGGAAGTGATTTTAATGTGCTTTCTGGTTAAATCTTGAAGAAGACTGAGGAGAAATTTGAGTGTGGAGAAGGGAAGTCAATTGCCCAAGGTCACATGAGCTAGTAGAAGATGCCATTAGAAAGAAACTAGGTATCTCTCTACTAGCCCAGTGGTTTCTGTCCACCCTCCCACTCCCCACTTTTAGATACCCCAAAATGTACCCACTGTGGCAAAGTCTGTTGTTTTTTTTTCCTGGCTATTTCTTTCTTTTTTTCTCTCTCTCTCTCTCTCTTTTTTTTTTTTTTTGTATTTGGGCTCTGGGGTTCATGTGCATGTCCTGCATCCTGCAGGATTGTTGCATAGGTACATACATGCCATGGTGGTTTGCTGTCTCCATCCCCCACCACCGTTGCCTACATCAGGCATTTCTCCATCTCCTGGCTATTTCAATTGCTATCCCATGACAATGTTGGCAGACTCAGTGACTGAGCACACCCTTGATCATAAGAGAGGGTGTGCTTTTTCCTGTACTCCTGACCTAGCTGGGGAAGAGCCATGCTGCCGTCTGCAGCCTGTCTTTGGCTCAATGGGGTGTAATGGAGAAACCAGGGAGAGCTGTGTCTCTAAAGGCAACACTGCTGCTGTGAAGGGTTGTATCCTCTTAAGAGAGTTTTTGTTTTAATTTTTCTTTCTAAAAAAAACAATTAAGTTGACAAAAAGTGTATATATTTATGTTATATGATGTGATGTTTTAATATATGCATATATTGTGAAAGGATTAAATCAAGCTAATTAACATATCCTTCAGGGCTGTGGGGAGGAGAGTGAGGAGATGTTGGTTAAAGGCAACAAAGTTCAGTTAAATGAGAGGAGTAAGTTTTGGAAATGTACTGTACAGCACAATGACTATGGTTAATAATAATGTACTGGCTGGGCGTGGTGGTGTGCGCCTTTAATCCCAGCTACTTGGGAGGTTAAGGTAGGAGGATCACTTGAGCCCAGAAGTTTGAGACCAGCCTTGACAATATAGCAAGACCTTATCTCAAATAACAACAACAATAAAAACAACCACAATAATTTACT